AGTGTTTTAAGGCAATGTGTCCCGTGTTTTAAGGCAAAACCTACATCCCTTAAACAATTGATGGGTAATTTGCCTAGAGCTCGAATACAACAAACAATTAGACCATTTTTCAATTGCGCAGTCGACTATGCTGGTCCCATTTTTATCAAAAATGGTTTTTTACGAACTTCAAAATCAATCAAATCATATATTGCTCTTTTTATCTGTTTGGCCACAAAGGCAATTCATATTGAATTAGTTTGCGATTGTTCAAGTCAAACATTTCTGAGTGCACTTAATCGCATGGTAGCCCGTCGTGGCAAGGTTCTTAACATGTATTCGGACAATGCAACTAATATTGTAGGGAGTAATAACGAATTAAGTAAATTATTTCAATCACAAGCTTTCGGTGAACTAACCAATAAATTAGAAATGCAAAATCTTCACTGGCATTTTATACCAAGTAGATCCCCTCATATGGGCGGTTTATGGGAAGCGGGTATTAAGTCAGCAAAATACCACATTAGTCGAGTGACGAAAAACGCATTGCTGAATTACGATCAGTTTTATACCCTATTAGTTGAAATCGAAGCATGTTTGAATTCTCGTCCTTTGACACCCCTTTCAAATGACCCCAACGACCTATCACCTCTAACTCCTGGCCATTTCTTAATCGGGAGTCCACTAATTGCGTTGCCTCAAGAAAACTTGGTCGATGTTCCGTCTAATCGACTGAATCATTGGCAGCGCATTCAACAAATTAAAAAGCATTTCTGGCGACGCTGGTCTCTAGAATATCTGAACGAGTTGCAACAACGCACGAAGTGGAAGGCGGCGTCGAAGGAAGAACTCCAACCAGGAGTACTCGTTGTGCTCAAGGAGGACAACCTGCCCCCGCTTGCGTGGAAGATGGGCCGAATTCAAGAGCTCCATCCGGGCAGTGACGGGCATGTGCGGGTAGTTTCCGTGAAAACAATTAGCGGTATAGTGAAGCGTGCAATAAACAAAGTGTGCGTTTTACCAATTGAATAGTGGATATCATATGTATTTTATTAAGTTCACTTCTATTGTATATTTCATTTTTTTTTCATTTGTCATAGTTTGTTTTAATTTGTAGAGAATAATATTGAAGAACCCTTCAAGGCCGGCGGGATGTTGCATTTCCGGAAGCGGCCACTGACCCTTTTGGGTATCTTTACCTGTTTTTGTAAATAGCTCTGTAATTTTAGTACTTCTGTAACCGTCCTACATTAAACATCAAAACCGAACGCTGTCCATTATTTCAATTATAACAAACAAAGGTCCTTCGAGCAATATCAAGGTACAATTCGGAAGACCATACATGGTCGTATCAGCCGGATTACAAAAAACGTTGGTACTACGATTCGGATTGTACGAAACATTGGCATTCAAGCCGGAACATTGGTCTTCGAGCCGAAACATTGGTCTTCGAGCCGAAACACCTCTGAATGGGCAAAGATGAATAATAAATCCTTTTTTGGATATGTTAGTGGAATTGGCTGATCTGACAACAAATATAAAAGCAAATCTTATTCACCTGGCTACCAACGAAATGCTGCAAATGGAATTCCATTTAGAAACAATTGACGTCTTCTGGATTAAGAGAAAGAGGAATATCCAGAGCTACAAAATGAAGCGTTGAAATTGTTAGTATCATTTGCCACATCGTAGCTAACATTCTTTACAATGGTAAACATTAAAAATAAGAAAAGAAATAGACTCCAATTAGAGAACGATTTGATTGTTTGCGTTCCAAACATAGAACCACGTTTTGAAAAAATATTGAAAAATAAACAGGCACAGCCTTCTCACTGATTTTGATTGTCATTTTATTGCAGTGGGGAGTGGAAAACCTACAAACGTTGTTCTGTACCTTTATCTCCCTTTCGGTCCGCGACCCCCCAAGTAAGGCACAGTTTGAAAATCACTGCTCTAAAGGTTCATTCGCAATGACAAAATTAGTAACTAGAATTAGCATTAGAATTAGGTTCAAAACCTTGCAAGGTGAAATATCATACAAACATTCACAATGAAATAAATTAGTAATTACTCTTAGCAATTAACGCAGAAGCTTGCAAGCTCCAAACTTTTGTGTTAATTTCTGTATTAATTTTAATTTTGCGCCTGCGCACGAATGTTAACTACAGTGTCCTAACCTACAATAAAATTGAAAAAACTCGGGAAAGAGTCAATCGTCAATAACGGTTTCAAGACGCAAAACATACAACTTGCTGTGGCAGTGTTGTCAGGTTATTTACTTACTATACGCAAAAAACAACGAAGATGGTGGGTAAGTAAAGCCAACAACCAAAAATACAGAATACAATAGAGAATCTGCTTACTGGGATTTGTGTCATAGAGGGCGTTGGAAAAATTAGTTTATTAATTTTTTCATTGTGAATGTTTTGTTTTGAGCTTAAAGCTAATACTAAATCTAATTAGTAATTTTATACTGATAAAATTAATAAACTAATTTTTGTAACGCCCTCTATGATACAAATATCGCAGCACGCAAATTCTCTATCGTATTCTGTATTTTTGGTTGTTGACTTTACTTACCCACCATCTTCGTTTTTTGCGTATATTGTCTTTGCCATTTGTATTGAAACACCACCTGTTGATTTTGCTTAAAATTTAGCAATTGGTAACAACTTCCAGTTGATTGACAACGACTTGTATTTAGAAAATTGTCTGAATATGAACGTTGCCAAATTTACGATTAACAAGTGGGTGTTTCAATAGAATGTCAAAGACTATAACCTGACAACACTGCTACAGCAAGTCGTAATGTTTTGCGTCTTGAAACCATTATTGACGATTGACTCTTTCCCGAGTTTTTTCAATTTTATTGTAGGTTAGGACACTGTAATAAGCATTCACGTTCGGTAGAAGTAGCTGACAGAAATTTTTCTGTGGTTAAGTTGCAATCTTAAGATCACTAGAAATTAACTGGCATCAACTGTCTCATTTTCTAATTCAAATGTCAAATGTGAATTGTGTGAAAAAAAAACAAAGTTTTTCTAATTTTTTTCCAAATTCGTTTCAAGAAAATCCAGACAGCATGGAAACAATTTACACAAAAGTAGTCACGAGAAAGCCCATTTTAAAGGAAAAGAAACAAGAAATATTTCGTGCTTTTCAAAAAATTACATAGAAAAATGGTCAATATATATATATTATATATAGTTAACATTCGTGCGCAGGCGCAAAATTAAAATTAATACAGAAATTAACGCAAAAGTTTGGAGCTTGCAAGCTTCTGGGTTAATTGCTAAGAGTAATTAGTAATTTATTTCATTGTGAATGTTCGTATGATATTTCACCTTGCAAGGTTTTGAGCTTAATTCTAATGCTAATTCTAATTACTAATTTTGTCACTGTGAATGAACCTTTAAGGGTCATGAAAGGCCGAGAAAACGTAAAAGTAGAGAGTGGCCGACGGACTCGATTACAATACTTCCTTTGCTTACGCGCAGGAAGTAAAAAATCGTATTGTCATTGGATGTATTAGTAGTACCGTGATCCATAGTTACATTACATTACATCAGTTGTTAATAATATTGAATTTTTCTCTCGCAAAACAGTTGTATAAAATCTACCCCAAAACCTACTACTGTAAGATGAGATTATAAATTTTTAATTTCTGAAAGATATTGTACAAAATGTGAATGGAATCTGCACTGATTCTACCATTTCACCATTCTTACTGCCTCTGTCCTTACAGAGAATTTTATACCTGTTTATATACAGTAACTAGATTCTCGCCAACGTCTTGGTCCGATGCATTAGAGGATATTCACCTGTGATATTCACCTGAGCACTTAAAAGACACATGTGTGTAGACATGCATTATAAGTATGACACAGAAATAATCAAGTACACCGTGTGACAAATTTGAAACTTGGGAAAAAGGTAGGCACATAAGATGAAATAAGAAAAACAAGGTTAAAATGCAATAATTAAATAATGCATTGGTTAATTGTTTAGTGAAATAAATTCTAATTGTCATTATTATTTATTTGAAATTTCAAGTTACACATGATGAGCATTGAAACTAAGTTCTTGAATGTCGCAACTGCGATAGCACGCCGGCATATATATGGACACTGAACTAAGTGAGTGACTGAAATTTAAAAGGAACCTGATGTTGCAACGTCTCTTTAACCGTTTTTCAAGTTTCTTTTATATTTTCCAGTGAGGATAAAGAAGACGACCTTCAAACACGGCTAACGTACTATGAGACTGATTCAACGGTCTTCGTGGAATTTCTACGTAGACTCAACGGGTCAATTGCCCAACCGACGTTTAAAGATAAAACCATAATGCATAGAAATTACATGATAGCAAACTGGAAGTTTCAAAAAATTAAAACTTATTTATACTGACCTACGTAAATGTCTATTTGTAGCATCGTCACAAATTCATAGCGACAGACGGCCAGTAACAAATTTCATCTAGATTTATTAAAATAGAGAAAAAGGGGAAATATCAATTTTTTGCTGTTAATCATTTGATTACCTAAAATGTAATATTCCATGCACACGTAAGTCACAGTGTTATCAGTTGCAGTACAGCGGTCACTAAATGATTGATTGTTAGTTGTGCACATAAAAAACGAAGCTTAAAAAAATCTCATTAACATTAATTTCATATTAAGTGTCAAATGTTAGTTATGAACTAGGGAGTCATAATAGAAAACGTTATGAGAGAATTTATTTTAAATTAGTGGACATTTGAAACTAAGAAAAAATTCGGGAAAAAATTATGCATTGAGTAATTTGTCTACTTAAAAATTCACATTTCACAACCCTAGTAATTGCAGTTATTGAGGATTTATTTAATTTTTGTTAACCTCGTATTTTTCTGCTCTTCGTTGTTCGATGTTAAAACTAAATTTTACTTCAATGGCCAGCATATTAACAAAATTATGTTAAAAAAAAAAACAAATGAACTACCACACTTGATTCTACCCATTTCGACCACAAAATAAAAATACATACCTGCGATCAAAGAGCCTATTACGAGATATAATCCACAGAGTAGGAAATTTCAAAGAGTTCAAACAAAAGTGAACACACCACTTTCACTGCAAAGCACTCGCACTCATTTATAGCGAAGAAATTAACGAATAAAGTATGCTTTAAAATGAATTAAGCACGCAACACAAGAATGGAGTCACTCATCGGCCGTTTCATTACGAAGTGATCCCAGATTCAAGCGTATGGACAAACGCCCAACTCAATCCATATTTACAGTCGGAACGGCTTGCGTAGTAGAACGCGGCCGGTGCATGCATAGGAAGTGGAGACAGGAGATGCACTTCAAGCAACGAATAGAGGTAACCCATGTTAGTAAAGGAAGAATGAATAATGTTATGTGGCTTCACCGCCTGGATTGGATGTAACGTACAGTATCTGGTAATTCGACTCTTAATTGAAAAACTGAAGCAGAGATAAAATATTGATGCATCCTAAAAAAATAAAATAATACCACTGTTTATGCTATCATATAAGTAGTGTCAAGTGTTAAAATTTTCCGGTCTATTAAGTACTTCCCGAGCGTAAGCTAAGGAAGTATTGTAATCGAGCCTATTGGGCGACTGGCTAATTTCATATTTTCTCGATGGGTCATGACCCCTCATGATACAATAATAATTCCTAGGTATGATACTCGTCACAATACTCGTGTCGTTAAAAACACGTCGACTTCGCGTAGTGACGTCACGTGGTGAGAAGGAATCAAATGAATTACATTGGGGATATGTGGAAATCAGTATAACGAAGGTTTTTTTTTCACTTTTTTCTTCTAAAATAAATATTACTCCTTTTAAAAATAATGAAAAAAGTAAGTTCTTATCACTGTTTTCAGATTCTTTCATTCTTAAACAGAAATATTAAATTATTGTAAACTGTATTAGAGAAGCTGATTACGGCAATAATTACTGGGGCGGCTGATGCCGTGCACGTGCCCCCCCAAAATTACAACGTCTACAAACACACTGGACATAGCAAAATAGTAATTTTCAATATTTAAAAAATTATTCGGAAATTTTTGTCATAATTATCAAAACTATTTTTTTATCTCGCTCCACTTGTATAAAATGTATCAAAACTTACATCCACTTGCATCTAAAGATGAGTGTCTTGGATATATGATATGTTACTGCTGATAAAAGCCGGGCACAGAGACCGGAATCATGGCTGATTTAAACGTTTTGTTTACACCGTTGCCATAGAAACTACACGTCCTAGCCATTTCAGTCAATGGGACTGCGGTCCCGTTCTGACAGTGCTCGGCAGGAGTAACTCAATCGCAGGTTTTAATTTTCATGCTGCACGAGATAGACGTAAAACAGGTATGATAAATATTTTTGGATAACCTCGGTAATACGGACATTCGAAAACAACTAAACACCACCGAATATTAATAATATTCGGGCACATAACGCAAGGGTCGACAAAAATCGCCATATATTACGCCGACTGATAATATGCATAAAATTTTGTGGAGTATTTGAACTGGCTTTACGTGGACATGACAAAAGTAGGGAACCACAAGATCCAGGTATATTTCGAGATCTGATTGATTTTACGCCTGAATTGGACTTTGCTTTATCAGATTATTTGAAACAAGCAACGGTTTAAAAAAAACGTCTAAAACTGTCCAAAATGAACTTTTAGATGCCATCAACGTAAAATTTTGACCGAAGGCAAAAAGGAATGTGGACAAATCCTTTTTTATTTTTATTGAATGTACTTTTGTATTTATTTCCGCCACACAATTTCATTTCACACCTGTTTTATATCTTCCTATTTAACTCATCAATCAAATTGTGTCCCCAATTTCAAAAGGTCACGAGCCGCCACTGAATTACTATAATAAGTGAATAGTTTAATAAAACAAACATACCTGAAAATCATAACAACGATAATATATCATCACTAACAATGTTCCCTATATTCTAGTCTTAAAATGATACTTGGTTATACCTATAATAGAATTACGGTTAATTGATTATTTTTTTAATTTTTTTCGTTCAATTTTATTCTTGCCTTCTTTCAATGAAGCGTTTAGTTTTTTTTAACCGAAAATACATTCTCGGCCTAAAGAATTATATTTTAATTTCATCACTGCATTCAATTACCCGTGCACGATTTAACAAGTGTTTCAACGGCATCATAATGTAGGTCGTTTAATTCATTTTTCACCAGCAGCCATAAAGCATGCATTTGTCGACTTGTTTCGAGGTAGCAAAGTTCAACTTTTGTGCCCAAGGTTCAAAAAGAAGATTGAGGTTATGTACGAAATACCTGATCAAGAACAAAGAGGTTTAAATGTATAGAGAGAGTACTGGGCTCGTTGTTTTGTGTCGAACATATACAAGTCCTCTCTGCTGTTCGTATGGTGTTCGTACACATTCGTGAATTGACGGATAAGCAATTGAGCGCGTCAGTGGCGGAACTAGATTTTACTGATATCTATTAGTTTCAACACATTTGTCATTGTTACAGATTTTAGTGGATATTTGCAAAGACCAGATACGCGAACATGTGGGAAGTGTATTAACCACACATTTTATTTAAAAACCAATATTTTTTGTTTTTCTTGAAATTGTATGAAATTAAAACTCGTCAGCCACTGTACTGCAGTACAGTAAACCTCTCGCGCCTCACTCCTCTCACCCGGGAGATGTTGGTCACACTTGATATAATATGGAAGGTACATGGCATACTCTCTCTATACATTTAAACCTCCTTGATTTAGAAGGTTTACTTGATGTAATTATTTCTTAAAGTGAACAAGTATATGCAACTACCATTACTTAAGTACATGCATGGTAGTTGGTAGATGGTGGAAGATAACATTAACAGAGATAATGGAGATATGACAGCTAGCAAAATTCTATAAACTTCAGCGACGATATTTCTCTTTCTCTGAAAATAGACTAAAGGCACATTTTCTGAGGTCCCAGCGACCTGCTTCTTTGAACACCAGTCTTTGTACTTTGCATAACCCTTCATATAAACGCTTTTGGATTATTTTTCCGACAATAGCTTTTCTTGCAAATTTTGCGCCTCCCCCCTTAGTTCTGGAGATGTGCATTGTTCAATTTCGATCATGTTCTGTTCTGCAAACACTATTAAGAAAATTCGTGAAACGCTGCTGTCATCAAAAGTTTTCAAACACGGTTGTAGAATAGATAGGTTTGTACCACTAATGGCTTGGGATGACGACGCTTCTTTTCGATCCCTATATCCATGGAAAGGACACATACAGCTAGCGCCTCTACCTCTAACTGTATTGCATTCCCAACATTTTGTGGGAAAATGGAGTGAGACTCATTCATTAATTTTTTTGAGCCACCATATTTTGCACATTTTGGGTTGAATTTAGTCGGTAAAATTTTCAGAAGACGTCATCAATATTTTGGTGTTGAATAAACAGATATACACGGTAATTTCGAAATATGTGCAATAAAAAAAATGGGGAATAGCTCACAATAAGATTATAGCTCTGTGTAAATGTCACGTTCCTAAGTGGTAGCAATGTCTGGAAAAAAATATTTGAAATTAAATTAAATATAAATTGTTATACTGGTAGTGTTTTCGTGACCTACATAATTACTACAATGAATAGCACAGCGACAAGGCTTAAGAACCACATAAAAGGTGCACTGATAAGGAACGTGCAAAAAGACGATACGGGCAGTCATTCAGTCATGTATATCAGTTTAGTACTATCGCTTCGTGTGTTTGGTTGTGTTTGACAATGGTGAATTTTACCAGTTCAGAACGTGTTGACATGTATTGCGTGGCTGATGGAACCGCCCGCGAATTGTGGATCGAACACTTTCAAAATCACGTAATCCGTGTGCAAACATTTACGTCAGTGGTGCAGCATCTCCGAGATCATGGTACCTTCTAGCTTGAAACTCACGATCGTGGCCATAGTAGGACCGAAAGAATATTGCAAGCTGAAGAAGAAATTTTGAAACTCGACGAAAAAGAGCCCGACATCAGCACTCGCCGACTTGCAGTAGAAGTTGGAGTTTCACAGTTTGTAATGCATCGTACATTGACAGAACAAAGCCACATCCACACCATGTTCAAAAAATGCAAGATTTCGACCCGCTAATTGTCCTCGTTCTGTAATTTACTGCAAATGGTTGTTAGCAATGCTGTTTTCTACAGCCACAACACTCACGTTTGGTCCGATGAAAACAATATTTCTTATAAAAAGGTAGTAACATTCTAAGTTGCTCTTATTTTTGTTTTAATAAAGAATGTGGAATCGTTGTGATAAGGAATCCGTCAGAATGAAAAGTCGATTATCATGAAGCATTACCAAAAATCGGTCCTTCTCAGAACCACCATTTTTTTCTACAACGGATAATTTTTCGTACTGACCTTTAACGTTGAATGAATGCATGAATGATGGAATGATAAGCAGCCAAAAATTGGTTTTACTTTTAATTGAAACTGAAATTGCTTACCTATATCATTTTTATTCGAACGTTTTTCCACTTCTGTTTACAAAGTGGATCAGTGACTTCGTATTGAGGGTGGTTGATAGGGGTTTTGCCCCATTCCATTTTTTAATTTGTTTTTTTTTCTATATTTACACACTACTACGTTACGTAATACCATGGTTAAAATTATTGTATATATTTCGAAATCACAATAACGTTAAAACGTCTGCAAGATTTTAAAGTATTCAGTTTGGCAATTCTTGATTTAATCAAGAAAATAAATTGACTCAGTCATTAATTTTTTTGAGACACCCTGTATACGCAGTCCTAAAAAGTATGAAGGCAATGATAGTTTACAAGTATAGACTGATCATATTTTGCACATTTTAGATAGGATTTATTCGGTAAAATTTTCACATGACGTCATAAATTTTTTGGGGTTGATAAACAGATACATTTTACTTAAAAATTTACCATGCTTACAATAACTTCAAAACGTCTGCAAGACTTCAAAGTATACAGTTTCGCAATTCTTAATTCAATCAAGAAAATAAATTGACTCAGTCATTACACACCCTGTATATATTTAGGATAGGATTTACTCAGCAATATTTTGAGGCGACGTCATCAGTTTTTTAGGGGGGATGAGCAAATACATTTTGGTCAAAAATTTACCATGCTTATGATAACTTTAAACTATCTCCAAGATTTCAAAGCATTCGGTTTTGCAGATTCAAAATTAAATTGCAAAATGTTGTTTTATGATTTTTATTTTTTTCCAAAAATCTTTACGTTTTCGGTAAAAATTCAACACGGCATCATAAACTACATGTGTAGGACTATGTTATTTTATACAATTTAAAGCCCATTTACTATGTACAATTTTGAAGTGACGTCATCATATTATTGGTGGGGATGATTAGACAAATTTTGGTTAGCGTTTTACCATCAACATGATATTTCTAATATAAATACAAAATTTGACAACAATCGGGGCAGTACTTTCGGAGATTATCTGTCTAATAAAAATCTGAGACGGCAGACAGACGGACAGACAAACGGAAACGGGAGACCTATTTCTTCGTCCTCTAGGGGTCATGAAAGGTCGAGAAAACGTAAAAGTAGAGATTCGGGCGACGGACTCGATTACAATACTTCCTTTACTTAGCTCAGGAAGTAAAAATAATAAATACTTACATATTATGTTTAAACCTACTTGATGTCAACAAATATTTCTTTTAGCAACTTATTAGCCGACTGTCTCTGTAAAGCTCTTTGTTGTCCTGGTTTGTCTTTGGTATTCCAAGGGTTATCCTTTCGGAAGGAATAATGAGGGGACTGCTCCTGGTTTTATTTTTAGTCCTTGTTTGGAAAGATAGTTGAAGAGTTCAAATTTCAAGTTTCTTTCGGTAAAATGTTTGGAGCATACACTCGCATTTAACTCGTTAAAAAAATCCGACCGGCAGAAAGATATGAGTATCACCCACAATTATCTGCTCACATTGTCTTCGGGAAAACGAAAAAATTTAAAATATTTCTGAAAATCATCTTAAAATGTGTCCGAATAAATCCTAACCAAAATGCGTAATATGATGAGTCTATACTTACGATATATCATTACGTTCATATTTTTACAACTGCTTATACAGAGTGACTCAAAAATATTAATGAATGAGTCAGTTTATTTTATTGATTAATGCAGAAACTGCAGAACCGAATGTTTTGAAATCTTGCAGATCTTTTAATGTTATCGTTGGCATGGTAAATTTATAATCAAAATAATATCCGTTCGCAAAACTCCCGCACTGTCAGTGTCAGATTTGCAAAAAATGACCTGAGTGTACTCAGTGGTGAGATGCGAAAAACCTGTACAATATGTTGCAAAATTGCAATCTAGTGACAAATTAGTATCTAAAAATAACTTGTCAAATAAAAATGTCAAAAGCACATTAATTGAAGATTTTTATCAATTCAAGTAAAGAAAGAGTATCACACACGAACGACAACGAAAGCTTTTTTTGAATAATATATATTTTTGACCTTACTGTCCACTTCTACGCTTCTGGTGCTACAATTTGTTTGAATTACTGACAAGTTCTTTAAACACATTGAACACTTCAGCAACTTAAAAAGGTAAAATAGTTAATAAACATTTGATTTTTCATTCATTAATTTTGAAAATTTGAAATTCAAGGCAGTAATCATATAAACTTAAAAATCTTTTAGGGGATTATTTCTCATACCAACAGAATGTCATTCTGACAGTGCGGGAGTTTTGCGAACGGATATTACATCTGTTTGTCCCCTCCAAAAAACTGATGACGCCATCTGTCGCAATTAGCCAATTACACGTGACGTCACGCTGTGGCGGGAACTCAGCGTTTGACAAGCGCCGTGAAACTCCATAAGTGACAATGTTAACATTTTCGTATTTTATTCAAAAGTGTGGGTATTTATCTAGAAAATAAACACGTGAATAGCTTCTTTTATATCTTTTCTGTGTGTCAGGGTGCTTTTTTTTTTGGCGATTTGAGTTTAAAAATTCATAATAAAAATAAAAATACAGAACGCTGTTTTGGTCTGAATTCCTCGTCACCCAAAATACATCCGTGTGTTTTAAGCGGTAAATCGGAAATTAATATTTTCGTTTGAGGTTAATGTGACGGGTTTAATTGAAGGTGTGTGATTTGTTTTTAAATTATGGATAATTTAAGTGATTATGCGCGGTGTCTTTCCCTCAAAGAGAAAAACAGATATGTACAAAAGTTAAACAATTTAAACGGCGTAGATCCTTATATAATGAGTGCAAGTGATTTTAATTTGTGTTTAGACGATATCCCTACCATAACAATGAATACCATTCTAAACTTTTTTATTTTTGGAATAAGTAAAATAACCCACAATGAAATGCGTGCATTCAAAAGTCTAGAGGCATTTATTCAGTTTTCTCTTTTTTAAACGACTGTGTCTTTCAACATTACAAGTATTATGAGTGGATTTATTTTTATATCCTAAATTTTGTGATGGAACATAATCAGGGTGGTCCACATCCGACAAATCTGCAGGTTTACCTAAAAGAGTACCAATGTAGTAATTTATTAGAAGCTGTAAATCTAATAGGTAGTTACTGTACCTAAAATAAAATGATCCGAACAAATATAGGAATACTTTACTTTGGCTTCGTTAAATCCACTCGTTTCAAGGCTTTTAACCAAAGCTTCCGCCTTTTTTCCCCATCCTGTATATATTTACCTTTATTGTTGCTAATTGCTGGGAAAGGAAAATAAAATTTGTCCGCATTTCTGGTGCTTCGATTCGCGCAATCCACAACAGCACAAAATTTAGGCATTTTCTCCTAAAATACAAAATATTATACCTAATATTAAGATGCTAGTGTATTTAAAAAACATTGATGTACATTAACACAGAATTAATTTGCAAAACAAATAGTATAAGATGCAACGAAGTTAACCTTACATCACATTGGAAAACATTATTTTTTAAGGATATTCAAACGTTATGGTGCGTTTTACAGATATCTACACAGTCTAGAAACTGTAACAAACTTACCAAACTACAAAAACACAGTTGACACACTCTTAAATTTAAATGAATTCCGAAAATATTAGCATTGACTCTTATGAGAAAACCGGCTAGTTGTCAAACGCTGCCATTTTGATGACCTCGGATGACGTCAGTGTATTTGGCTAATATGCAAAATGTGCAAAATATGATGAACTTATATTTGTATTTTAACATTATTTTCATATTAGTTAGTTGCCGAGCGTAAGCTAAGGAAATATAGTAATCGGGTCCATCGGACGAATGACCATTTTTGCTCGACGTTTTATGGCCCCTACACTACGAAAAAAATAGTCTCACGTAAACAAAGTAAATAAAAGCAAAGGGATTCATAAAACACAAGTGTGGAAGTATCACATTTTATGACATTCAAGTTATATTTATTGGAGATAAATTTGAGGGGATGTTATCATGTTGTTGGTGGGGATGATTAGACACATTTTGGTTAGCGTTTTACCATCTATATGATATTCGTAATATAAATACAAAATTTGATAACAATCGGCACAGTACTTTCGGCGATTTATTCTCTAATAAAAATCGGGGCGGCAGACAGACGCAGACGGACGGACAGACAGACAGAAACGAGAGACATATTTCTTCGTACTCCAGGGGTCATGAAAGATCGAGAAAACGTGAAAGTAGAGAGTCAGACGATGGAGTCGATTACAATCTTTTAAACTTGTCAACTTGCCTAAATAAAATTTGAAAATTTGAGTATAAAAATAATGTTTTATACAACAGAAGAGAAAGTACAAATTTTAACTTGGTACCGTAGCCATTGAAGCATTTGAAGTGTACGTGATCTTTTTTCAGTCAATTATCCCGATAGACTAATTGTGTCAACTGGAACATGATTTAATGTTATTGCAAAATTTAACGCCCACGGATGCGTCGAATATAAACATCATAGAAGAAACAGATCAAATTATGTCTTAACTGAAAAAGTACAATTGAACCTCTTATTATGTTATGCCGAAGAGAATCCGATGTCTTCCTTAACCATAACAAGCAGCTAGCTACTTTGGAATTTCGCCGTCTTCAATTCGCAAAGTTTTAAAACCTCATAAATTCGCGAGACAAAGTCCAGAAGATAAAATTAAAAGAACGGATTTTTGCGAAACACTAATTTAATAAACAATAATGAAAACATTTTTCAGAACATCGAATTTCCAGATTAAGCATCGTTTTCATTAGATGGTGAAGTCAATTCCCAAAATCATCGCTTAGTCCTACTGATTTCTTTCATATCTTTTTCCTTTCTTTACAGATATTGGTCAAATACTAGTCCCGTTGGCAAAATTTGATACGAACGCAATATAACCGCAGGGTTAATGGGTGGGCAGGAATTATAAATCAAACCTTAAATGGTCCATCTTTTATTGAAGGAAATTTGGATTCCAATTCCTTTTTATGACTGCTTCGTAACCACATAGTGCCCCAAATTCAAAACTTAAATATTAATGAAGTTTGGTTTCAAATGGATGGAGCTCCCCCACATTCAACTGCAATAATAACTCATTATTTACACGAAATTTTTACATAGCGGTGTCGGTGAATAGCAAGATTTGGGACAATTGCTTGGCCACTAAGGTCGCCAGATTTGTCTCTTAATGACTTTTTCCTTTGGAGGCATCTAAAAAATATAACTTATAATAACATTATGATAAATTGATAAATGATGTTGAAGGATTAAAATACCTGCAATGAGCTTAACCCTAATTTCATTAGGAACGCTGTTCAAGGCTTTTACCGTAGGCTGGCCAATTGTCTGAAATGTGAAGGTGGTCATTTCGAATATTTGTTGAAATAATGAATAATTTTTGTTTACTTTTTCTGTTACCGGATTAATAAATTTCACAATTCATAATTAATTTATTCTTCACCTACATTCGCTTGAAGAAAAATTAACCAAAAAAATATCACGTACCTTTGAACACGTTGAGTGCTTGCATGGCGTTAGTACCAATTTAATATTAGTATTTTTTCTTCTGCTGTATACATTTTTCAAACTTCCAAATTATATTTAAGTTGGCGATGTAATATTGGTTGCATACTTCTAATACATTATGGTTTTTTTTTCAGATTGAACATAGGGACTTTGTGGGGTGTTCAGAGTTAAAAAATGTCCCTATATATTTCAGCAATGGATAGCGCTGTCTGAAGAAAGATTAGGCGGGCAGTTTGAGCACTTATTATAGAGTACCTACCTATTTATGTATTTATTTTATTTTTCTTTGTATTCGTATTTGAATAAATTACGTTCTACATATTTGGTTTGAATTTTGCCATTATTAGTTACTTGAAGTCTTTGTTGTCATTTATGACACAGTGTGGTTTTTGTGTTGTAAAAATTTATTAACTATAACTGCTAATTTAAAAAGTTGTTTATGATATGCATAATGTGGTGCATACACGAAAGTATTCAGGCGTGCACAGATAAAATAATCATTCTGTACTTTATTTCTTATGGCTACAGCTGACAATTTCGTTACTGGTATTTACTGTGGCAGTGTTCACACAACTAAACCAGACTAAACCGTAATCTGTCACCTGATCTGTCACTGACACTTTTTTGCAAATGATAACTCAAAAATTGTTACCAGTTTGGTTAGTGTCCTACCAATTAACAATGTCCGTAAGTTGTAAAACCACAGTATTAATCTAATGTTATCAGTGTTCATGCACAAATCGCTACAAACGGATTCTATTTTGATTAATGATTTTTTAAGACTTGCCCCTATAGTCAGTAACAAGTTGAGTGGACCTCCACGTTCATGCTCTTATAGACAAAAGGATGCAAAACTGAGAATGTCAGAACAAGAATGCAAACGTTATAAGCATAATGAGCCAGCTACCAATTCAAGTGCACATCTTTGTGCAAATTGTTCTCGTGCTGAGTCAAATAGTGCATCTCGGATGCCACATGAACAGGTGCACAATAAAAACACAGCTAAGGAAGGTATCTTTGTCGTGAATCCTGTCAGTTTGGTTCAGTCTCCAAATTTTGTAACTGATATTCCATTATGGCAACCTGTGACATTACATAATTATAACTTAATATATGGAAACATAACACACTCTATTTTACAACCAAATTTATATCCAAACTACTTTCACAGACCAGGTCAGGAAAACCACAGGCAAGTGCATAATTTCGCAAAAACTTATAACGGTGAGAAGTGATTTTTGTTAATGTATAAATTAAAAACGATTAATTTTAGATGGAGAAGCTTCCATAAACAGCTTGAGACATTGGGAAAAACTAATGAATGAGAATACTATGCCAGGATTCAATTTTACTGTGATGTCATACAATGTTCTTGCTCAAGATTTACTGGATCAGCATATGTATTTGTATGCCTCCCACAAAAAGGAATCTTTAAAGTGGCACAATCGTTGGAAAAATCTAATGTCTGAAATTCGTCACTTTAAACCTGATGTAAGACACAGTTGATATTGGTCATGCTTAATTGTAGGTGCCCAATGTTTTAGATTCTCTGTCTCCAAGAAGTTCAAAAGTCCCATTTAGAAACACATTTTGCTGTTCTTGAACAGTTAGGTATAGTGATTATTTACATTGAAACAAATAAGTAATATTTTTTTTGTATTTGATTGAATAGGGTATAAGGGATTATACAAACAGCGCACTGGGGCTCGTACAGATGGTTGTGCTATTTACTACAAACACAATGTGCTACAGTTGGTCGAGTATACTACAGTTGAATATAATCAACCAAATGTGAGGATTTTGGATCGAGATAACGTCGCTATAATAGCAAAATTTTCACCAATAAAATTCCCAACAAGAAAATTTGTGGTGGCCACAACCCATTTATTGTACAATCCTAGAAGACAAGATGTGAGACTTGCACAAATTCAGTTATTACTTACCGAAGTGGACCGAATTGCGTACAATCCAGAGTAAGTTGCTACATAAAAAATCCAACTTAACCTTCAAACTACCGGGTGGGAAAATTTACACATCGTTTCGGGTGGGGTCCGTTTGGACCCCATGGCCTTTTTTAGCCAAAATTAAAGAATTAATCAAAAATTTTTAACGAATCCAAATTATTTATTAATTTTAAACACAACCAAGTTAAAAAAATTACATAACAATATTAAATAAGCATTTTTCGTTACAGTTTTTTGTTCCAGCATTCCTGACATTCAACGTTACGAGTAGAATATTCTCGGCAAACAAATCTTTTGCAGGAAATGCAAAAATTTCTTGATTTCTGTCCCTGCTACTTATATAGACGAAGCAGCGTCCGCGGGATTGTACTGATATCGATTTTGATAACGTGCCATTGATAAAACAAAATTTAATTTTTTACAGTGATTACATTGTCACACTGACACCGATACTGACACTTGCAAGTCAGTATCAAAACTGCAACGCCGTCTATAAACTAGTAAAGAATAAAACAATGGTTTTTGTAAGACTAAATTCCCAGAATAAGACCTGCAGGTGCAATAAAATCTCCAAAATATAGACAAAAAAATGGCAACATAAAGAACCAGGTGGGGTCCATGCGGACCCCAAGAGACTATTTTTTTTTTTTTTTTGTTACAAACTGTTACACCTATACAATTGATATTTTTTGTATGCATAGCAAAAGGCCTTAACCGAAGCTACTAAAAATACCACTATCGTTAAACCAGAAATAACGGGAAAAAATAGGAAAATGTAACAATGGGGTCCATTTGGACCCCACCCGGTAGTTTGAAGGTTAAAATCACATCTTCACATTCATGTGGACCTTCTACTCAACTGTCGAGGAACATTAAATATACGCTACACTATACTCCGTTCAAACCAGAGGTAGTAATAAAAAGAGATGATCAGTTTTTTATTCATCAGTGCAGTTCGCGTTCGGTTCGTCTGAAAACTAGATTCATTGATGAATGATTGATTTTAGTAGCTAAAATGACTCATTTTTCTCTTGAGATTTTGCTGATGATTACATATCTTCAATGCGTTTTCAAATAACTGTTGTCCTGGTATTTATGGTTTTCATTGCGTGTGTTAAGATTTCGCTTCGAAAACTGTGCAGACCGTCCCAACACACTTGAATCTGGAGTGCCTCAAGTGCAGAACTGCGTGTGTAGGGACCTACACAGAAAGTTGTGGACAGGTAATGTTTAAAATTTTATAACTAAGGACCAATTTATACAATGTTTTAACTGAAATTAAATTAATCACGCATTTAACGAGGCGTTTAGCGATGTCTGATTGGCGTAGAGTTGGTCAAGTGGTACTTTATAATGCAATTAAAATATTTAATTGAGCTAGTGTAAACATCATAAAGTAGCAACTGGCCTTAACAGACTCAGCCGAAATAGTTTCGCGTCGGGTTTGTGGCACCCTCGCCCTCAATCTTCGAAGGCAGTCTGGTGACGCGGGGTCGGGCTTTTTTCTTTCGTAAGGGTACCAGATAAACGTTTACTGAAGTAAAGTCCACTGATTTTCTTTTCTGCGGACTCATGCGGCAGATAGTACTTAAGTAGTACAAAATGATTTGGAATTAAAGTAATTCACTCTTTTTGCTACAGAAGTGGTTACTATGTACCTGTGATTGTAACTGGTGATTTAAATTCCACACCAAAGTCGGCTGTGTACAAGTTTATTACTGAAGGGAAGCTACAGTATGAAAATTTATCTTCAAGGTCACTGACATCTGATGAATCAGGCCCCAAGACAGGAAAGAAATTTCTTCCAGCCTTTTTACGAATAACAGGTAGGTACATTATTCATTTTTGCTATTTCAGTGTTTACTGGTTTGTAATGTTTTCTCGTTAGTTTTACCGAATTTTCTGACAGTTAACAAAACTAAAAAGATTACATTATAAAATAACATTAAGAGCAATTTGTAATTAATTTTAAATTTGAAAACATTTAAAACGTGTAAATTTGATCGTTTCAAAATATTTAATATATCTATGCGTGCTGCCGGTCAATCATATCAATCAAATTCATAACCCGCTGTTAAAGTGTATCCTTAAATAACTTATAAGTTGTGGGCATTTTTGTTCTGAAACGTTCATAAAAAGTAGCAAGGAGTTGATAGGATGACTAGAAATTCACCGGTTGAATTTAATTTTAAAAGTATGAGTATATTATTAATAGCATTTTTTTTTGTGTAACAGATCAATGTCAACATGCCAATTTACTACCTACACGACAAAATAATGCAAATATTTCACGTACAGAGGAGTTACGATTGATAGAACTAAAGCACAGTGAACGAAAAAATAGACAAAATGATAGATATAATATGGATGAAGACGATAAGAAGTTATTTTCTTCAGGTATCTTGACACATCGTCTTGCATTAAAGTCTGTTTATGAACATGGTGTGGACGGAAATGAAGAAGGCACAACTTTCCAAAATGAATGGATTTCCGTAGATTACATATTCTTCAGGTAGCAATAATATATAATTTGTAGTTGATGTATAGGACATCTCCGAAAATAATGGTTTTACGACTGTGGTTCTTTCGCCATTTTTGTCAATGAATAATGCAGCTAATTAGATGCAAACTTATGACACCACTCTAAACTTAGGTATTAGCTCCTTGTTGGGTTTGACAGACACGCTTCTCATAAACAGGATCGGCTTATCTTTTCAGAGGTATTAGTTAAACTTTTTCATCGCAAATGAAGGGTTTAGAGAAGCTAAAGTCATAAAACCACTATTTCCTCGGGCCACCTGTACAACCCGTTTAAAATTAATTAATCATTTAAGACGTGTTTCTAGAAAGATATTTAACTGATCTGTTAAGTAACTGCCCGTTAAATTTAACGGACTGATAAAATGCAGTCGGGTTTCTGAAAACATTCTTCAAAGTTTACAGTGAGACGGTAATGGTTTATAGGTAGGAAACTAACTGTTGGTTTTATCCTGAACTAAGAATTATTGCAAAGTCGTATAGATGGTGCTACTAGTTCTCACCACGACCTGCTTTATTAATGAGCTTCGTCTTCGTTAATTCGCTATTAAAGTCTCTCCAACTGGTTACAATCGTCCGACTTGTCAAAAGTGAAAATATCAAAAGATGTAACTCACTTCGGAAGTTAACAGGAATCTGTAATCCCTTTTTTCACTCTGATAAAACAAAATTTGATGTGTCTCAATTAATAACATTACCAAAATGTCCGAAAAGTACCACTCTGCACCTGCTTTTACTTTCATGGAATTCAAATCGTCTTATTTATTCGCTGCGAATAGTATACCACCATATCACGCTCGGTGACATTACTACGTCGCAGTGGCGGCTTGTCAGGTGAGGCAGGGCCTCACCATACGTAATCATAAAAAATGTTTTTCTTCGATACTACTTTTTTGTATATTATTTTCCCACGGGGTAAATTAAAATTAGCACGACTATTTCCTTCGAAAAATTTAAGCCAATCAAAAAACTGAACATTTTATTTTTATCCAATAACGATTAAATTACAGCGATAATACTGCACTAGTGCATTTATCGATAATTTACGATAATTTAGTTTTAAATTTTTATTTTAAGAAAAAGAACAATTATAGAAATTGCAATTTGAATATAAAATTTTACTGGATACTGATGATGATGGGCTTTTCATGCTGCTTTCATCACTGATATTTCGCATTTGTTGTGTAATTTTTTCGTGGTGTTCACTATCGACTGGGAGGTAACTCTTTAGCGAAGCCTGATTTAAATGTCCGGTTACTTTCATAATTTGATTTTCTGAAACTCCAGCCTTGGCAAGGTGAGTAACTGCCGCGGCACGATTCGAGTGATTTGTCACTTATAGTCTATAGCTTCTGTTGCATGCCTTGTCCACTTCGAAATTTTATTTCTTCCTAATGGACAATTTTTGAAAAAACCTTTTGATTTTTCTTTCATCCATGATGGGTTTACAGTTAAAAAAAGGCGTTCGACCGTAATATGTTTTCTTCTTTTTTCTTTCAACAATTTGAAAAGCCTGTAAAATTATGATATATTTTTTGAAATAATGCTTTATATGAAATACCTTATTAGACATTTATTACCATTGGTGGTGTTTTGTTTTGAACTAACCATCTTTTCTCTGTCAACCGTTGACATCCTCCTTGCGCTCAAAGAGTCTTCACAACACCTTCCTTACACTCTTCTCCATCACTGCGCCTCATATTGAAAGCGCAATCTTTTAGAATTAGAGCCATTTAGGATACGGTAGTTTCCTTGTTCAAAGTATATTTTCTTTCATCCCAAAATTGTTGAAACTGTTTCCATACAGAATCTCTGGACTTTTTTCTATTCACTGGAGTTAGTTTATTTTCTGCGGCATCTTATCACTTGTCCAGAATTTTGCTCAAAACGAGAGCTCATCTTGAAACAATTTTTTTTACGAACAAAACTGTTGTTGATTAATCACCTTACATACCAATTCAGTGCAAATGTGATGAACCTCAAAAAACCTTAAAGAAAAATTTATTTTTAAATAAATACATAATTAAGGGTGTGGGGACAAAAAATCTGCACAAATTTTAATTTACCGAAAATCGAGTTAGCTTTGAGAAAAATGACGGTTGACGTTATGACATTTTTTGACAGTTGTTAAAAATTGTTACGCCTAGTTCCTCTTGAATGTTTCAATATTTTTTGTAATAATGGAACACTTAAATGAAAATGATCGCCGATGTGTGATTGCCGAATTTTATAGAAGGCATATGCATTTAAAAAAGTCATTCACCGTTAATCACTTCTTCCAAGTGGGGATATCAAAAAGGACAACTTATAGCATTTGCAGAAGAGTAGAGAATGGGAATTCGGTAGAAAGACAAGTAGGAAGCGGAAGACCAGCAAGAAAAATGCCCCAGAAGAAGAGAGAAGCCTTAGTCAATCAAAGTCACGGTAAACTTGGTGTTTCACTAAGAAAGCTTGGACGGAAATTTAAAATTGACAAAAAGTATGTTAGCAACATATTAAAGGAGAACAATGTCAAGCTTGCAACGCGAAAATCCGCCCCCAAATATTCAGAAAAACAAAAGCTGGAACAAAAACGAAAATTAAGGCATCTTTCTGAATCCGCTTTTTCCCCCTCAAATGGAACTGAAATAATCATGGATGACGAATCCTACTTCACTTTTGATGGTAGCGATACTGCTAACAATAAACATTTCTATTGCAAGAAAGGAGAAGAAGTAGATGATAAAGTGAAATTCAAACGTCATAAAAAATTTCAGTCCAAGTTGTTGGTCTGGTTGGCCATTTCTTCACGTGGACATTCTACTGCGTTTATTTGCCCATCTGGAAATTCTGTTAATGCAGATATTTATGAAAAACAGTGCATTAGGTCTCGACTTGTCCGCTTTATAAGAGAAAAGCATTCGGATGGCAATTTTGTATTTTGGCCAGACATGACAACAGCTCATTACGCAGCTAACGTTATTGCTGCATATAATGAGTTAAACATTAATTTTATCCCTAAGGACAAAAATGTTCCCAACGTACCTCAACTACGCCCAATTGAACGTTTTTGGAGAAACCTAAAGAGGAATGTGTACAAAAACGGATGGGAAGCCTCGACACATGCAGAATTAAAGAAGCCTATACTGCTGAAAATACGGCAAACAAAAATATCGGCTTTTACAAATTTAATGCGCCGTGTTAAAACAAAAATTCGTAAAGCAAGCAGATATGGTGCAGATTGTGTTCTTTAAAGTTGTTTTTATAAATGTTGTTGATCACGTTATTAATACCTGCTTTTATAATACAGTTATTCTAGTTTGAAATTTGTGCAGATTTTTTGTCCCCACACCCTTACGTTTATTTGTGCTATCTAAATTTTTCTTAGGAAATAGTCTTCTAAAATACCCGCTCGTGCATGTCAAATTGTCTCCTAATTTTCCCTCGTGAGCTACGCTCACTCGGAGGAAATTAAAATTGTCGACAATTTGATAATACACTCGGAATATTACTACTGAGAACCTAACTTCCTACGTCAACCACAAAATAAAGGCGCAGCGTTATTCTAATCAATCATGTATTATCATGGGTGTAGGCCGGCCTCACGGGTTGATTAAAATGTGGGACTAGAAGGCTCGATGTTTTTACAATGCACAGTATCACCTCTGCTGCTTACCGTGGGAAGCAAATTAATGCATTAGGACAGATAGTTTTGAGGGCGGCCCGCAGCTCTTATCTAATTGGTTCTCCTTCTCAGCTCAGTCCACATGCACTGTGCACAACTTTTAAATTTCAGTCATTGTCGTTAAAGAGTTCGGTTGGTTAACTAGCCGATTAATTTTACTTGCAATTAAATAATAATGAACATGGAAGCAGGCCCGTCTGGTACTCAGGTGATCTCCACTGTTCGAAATACAAATGACATTGTTAACTTTCTCGCGAATAAATGTCTCTTTAATAAGTTAACATACGAAGATAAATTGTTGTATAAATTGTAAAGCAAAGCGAACGTCGCATGTCCAGATCTAAACTTAACATGAATTCAAAGAGAATTAATTCAAAGTTCGCGAAAATATGGAAATTATTAAAAGGTTAATTGATGTCGTCATATTTTTATGTGCACAAGAACTTCCGTTTAGAGGAGGTGACGAGTCAGAAATGTTTTTCAATCGCGGAAATTTTAAAGAATTAATGTCATTGTTGAGTAGATATCACACTTATTTGAGAAATTTTTGTAAAAAGATTCTGCCAATAAATTCGTGTTTTCTGGTACTTCAAAAACGATTCAGAACTAGTCAATCAATTTCTTTTGTCATAAACCAGAACATTAGCAAAGACATTTTTGAAACTCCTTTTTTTGTCAATAACATTCATAAAAACTTGATATAGGTGCCACTGAAGAATCGACTCCAAAACGTCGCAGGACATATGAATTACCCAATAAAAAACTGCAACTTGGGCACATTTTTTGAAATTTTGGACACAATAATTAATCAAATGGAAATTATATTTCTTGATTTTAATAATGTAATTTTCCGTCTTATGCCAGAAATTTCCCCGACCGACTTTTAAATGATTTGATTAATCAGATTCCTTTTTTTGATAATATTCAAATAAAAAATGAATTAATTGTGGCTTATAACGACAAAATTTTAGAAACTTTTGGGACGCCGGTTGAAATGATTAAATTTATATACGAAAATAATCTTCAAATTTGCATGCCAGAATTGTACAAACTGGTGTGTTTAGTAGTAACTTTATCCGCTTATTAGTTTCTGTAGAGAGAAGTTTTTCTGCATTAAAACGTATTAAGAATTATGCGCGAAATACAACTGTTCAAGACAGATTGAATAATATGTGCCAGATTTCAATAAAAAAGAACTTGTCAAAACAAAATGTCAGAGCAATTTACCCAAGAAATTATTAATCAGTTCGAAATTTAAGTTAAAAAAATCGGAGAATTCCATTTATTTATAAACAATTTTAAAAGGGTATGCATGCCATGTTAATTTTTTTTTTTTTTGTTCAGAATTCGTTTTTTGATTGTACGTTTTTATTTTAAAGGTTTTAAAGTTCAAAATCCGTAAGTATTGTTATTGTTTATATTATTTATAATTTTTTTTGTTATTTACCATGGTTTTGAAGCGATTGTTCGAAATCTAGAATTTTTATTAAGTTTTCATTTTACTTATATTACTGTTAGATATTTTGTCATATCTTTTTATTTATCTTTGTTTTAAATCTTCCGCTTGTTATCATTTCTGTTTCCTATTCTGCCCTATCCTTCTTTCCTGGCAACAAAACTCTAAACCTCCACGTTGGTTCTTACCGGACAGTTGATTATGTGGTGCATTTTTGTCAATATTTTTTTATGTTCAATTTTTCTATGACCAAAAAACGCCGAATTCGTGATTCATTATAAATTTTCATCTAGTATTGGCGTATAAAACGAACTGACAATTTCAAATTTCTTAAGTAAGTCACCAAGTGTAGGCAAAATGGAAGTAGAAATTTTCGGAATCGCGATTTGTTTACGTCTTAAGGTGTTGCCTCACCAAAATTTTAGATCACGAGTCGTCACTGCTACGTCGTTACATTATCGGTGGTTATCCGATACATGGTACAAGTAAACATGGTATGGACACGCGCATGTTGCCGTGACTTCAAGTTTGTGAAAGTGATGTCCATTTAAGCATTTTACATATAACCGTTGTGACGTCAACGTGGGGAAATCTGGCGTTTTTCCGAATTCAAAAAAGCCAATGAAATTTAGTACAAATGAACAGGCCGGTTAATAACTAATACAGCAGAGCAGGTCGTGGTTGTCGGTAATTTATGACATTAAATTCATTCAAATATCACAATGAACGTATGATTCGAGGGAAAAATTTTACCGACAATGAGAATGCGTTGTTTGAAATCGTCAGGACGAAGTATAAAAATATATAGTAGTAAACAACCAGTCAGACGCTGTAAATTGGGCATGGCAAAAAATTGCCAAAAGCTTAAATGCCCAAAGCTTTATAAACGGGGTATCGCAGTGCTAAGCAGCTGCATACCCTATGCAACCTAAAGAAAACGGCACGCGTTAATTTATACTTATTGAGATAAGGTAAGTAGACGTGCAGTTCTTCCTCATCAGAAGAAATTGAAGCGTAGAATTCTCTAACAACTTCTACTTTGTCTAAACGAATATGTATACTTCAAACGGTCATTTTCATTCCAGTTTCATAAGTTGAATTTTGCATATCATGCGTCAAGTGCAATTTAACAGACTTGCACGCCGCGTTAATTTAACTGTGCATTTTCGGTCAGTTAAAATCACATTTTTTTTTATCAACCAACTTTCGCATTTATCGGAGAGTTAAACTAACTAGTAAGTTAAATTTGCTTTCAGAAACCCACCCAAATTAGTAATTCAAGTTTGTATAATAACTCGATATTTGAGAGACCTAGTTGCGCGAGTTTTTTTTTTAATTTGGCAAATCAAAAAAAATTAACGATTATAACATTTTTGGGTAATTTTAATGTACTTTTTTTCTTTTTCAGTCACCCGCAATCTGACGTTGATCAAGTAATTCTGTTGGAACGGTATAGATTACCCACAAAAGCTGAATTAGGCGATTTAAGGATTCCTAACGGGCAGTTGGGATCTGATCATTTCTCTCTTGTGGCAAAGTTTCAGTTGCAAATTTAACTGTATTTTAATAATGTAGAGTATTTTTACAAATAAAGTTTTAGTTAAACATCAAGTTTTATAAATATAATATAAAAAATACGAGATAGAGAGGTGAAATTATTTTTATTCAACATAAACTTTTTTTAAATAGAATAGGTACATTGTACAACACAATCATGGTAACGTAATATACAGGGAGAATGGAATAATAACTTTCCAACTAGACACTACTATCAATATCTATTGTACCAGTGTGATAAAACTCCACTCATTTATTCTAAGAAATTCGGTGTTTGTTCCCTTGCGCACATTTAGAAAACTATCAGCGAATTTTAAACCATACCAAAATCAAAAACCTGGAAAAATATAACCTGAACCGGCTGGACGGTGAGTAGAACTTTTACATATTTGTGGTCCCCGTCAATTCAGATTAAATTCGGCTTGAGTAATTGATTTCGTCTGGTTGTGGAGTAGATGAAGTGTGGTCGCCATGTCCAGTATTAAGATCCGTCGTGCACTAAACAGGTCTTAGCAGAGGTCGTGGCAGCTATCTACTAGTGATCAGTGACAGCTCAATAAGTACATCCAAAAGCGTTTACACAGTATAGTTAGAATATTGAATATTAAAAATCAAGGGCTTTGCCCATCAGCGTAATGCTATACACACAACACTTAGATAAAGTATAAAGGACAACCATTATCAATATACATATATGTTTTTCTTTTTTTGTATTTTGATTTATAAAACATTTTAACAGGAAACAACAAGCACGTTACATGCAAATAGAATCATAACGTTAGCTCAAGATTTATTATACAGTGTTAGAAAACATTCATTTTATATGTATAGTATTTATAAATATTTAAACAAACTTAAATTAAATCTAGGCTAATTCTCCAACATAAAACCTGAAAACAACGGTGACTGAAGCTTGCGATGTATACAAGGGCTAACGCATCTGCGCAATACAAATGGAGAGATCAGGTCTTGCGTTGGACAATTATATTTTTGGTCTTAAACGTCTACTACCATCTTTTTGTGGATGTCAGTATTACCCACAACATTACAGAATTCCTCAAATGAGATTTTTCCGTCTTCGTCCTTATCCGCAAAAAGGATTGTTTTATCAACGATTTGTTGCAACTGGGTGTCTTTGAGATTGTTACCCACCATCATCTTTAGTACCTGGAACATTTGATTGAAGTTTATGTAGTTCTTAGGGTTGATTTGTATACTAACTTGAAACAACTCTCCGTTGGAGATAAATCCATCATTGTCCATATCATAAATTCTAAATGCGAACCTTAGTTTAGACAGTTTATCTCCTTTAACACTGAATTGTGAAACTCCTTGAATAAATTCTGTAATAAAACAAGTAAAATTATTTGGCTTTTCGTAAAAAGACCTTACTGAAGTTTTATAAGGCATATCATTACGTTTACAGGCGTCCATTAGTTGGGACAAACTGGGTTTATAATAAATCCAATCACGTAAATAGTTCGTACTGATTTATTCATTCAAATTAACTTCTGGCAATCATCTACATATTCTGACAATTCAACAGTTCATCCTTCTCTATATTAAATTATTCTTAACTGGTGAAAGTGTTTTCAAATGCGTACGATATATGACAGCATTTTATTTTGTTTATAACAATAAAATGCAATCTAAACTGATGTTTTCTAAACAAGAAAATGTGTGAATATATTTTTACGGTAAAATTTTAGATAAAAAAAATTGCATTATGTTGTGTGATCATTACGTTTTAAGGCACGCTTAACTTTTTCTATAGTTCTCTAAAAAGATTTTACAGTTTTCTAGGACAAATAGTAAACAAAGCTAAAAAGCGCTGCGAATTCACACGTCATAAAAAATTTAAGAGTTGTTCAAAAATAAATTAAAATGCAAAAATTGGGTACTTTTTGACTCTTCGTCATTTTGTATTTAATACTTAGTTGCGCTTACTATCTTAGATCTTGAGAAGGGTTGCTGCTATATTTCACTAAATTTCTATACGGAAATCCACTAACATATTTTTACATATTTTTAGAACAAACAGTAATGAAGTTATCTTTGTCTTTCTGTAATGATGACCAACTTAATGATTCAGTAGCTTTATATTATCCGTTTGTCAGTGTCAATATTTTGTCAGTTTTTGACTAATTATGTAAAGTTCCATCACTTGAACCGCATGTAGTAAAATTGTATTAGTATTTCAAAGTTAACCATGAAGGTTGGAGCCACAATACCATAAATCACAAATTTAATGCAGCCCTGGATGTTTCTAGCCCGCTATACACTGGCGGCACGCTCCTTTTATTGGCGTCATTATCCCCCTGCATTGTCCGACAATCCCTCAAAGTAGCGGTTGTAAAATTTTACTAGGTACTGATGTACTGTTAGAACTGTACAGACATGTACATTATGCAACATAAGTAAGAATTAAAGATTGTGTTAGTGGCTCTGGCGGGGAACCCGTTTCGCCCCTCCCCACCCGTAAGGGAGTTAGAGCCATCTTCCCTTTGGAACACAGGGTAGCTAAGATTCATTCATCATTCTTCATTCATTCTTCAAGCATTCAACATCACTGACTCTATATTCATTTTGTGGACCTAACGGTCATATTCTATCGAAGAACTTACAATTGTTATTTGTTAAATAAAATTCGTAAACGACTGTCCGCTACACTTATTCATATTCACACCATTTAATAGACTGATCTATGGATTAAGATAGAGTATGCATAGGGACACAGCAACGGCGTTCAAAACTTTTGTAACAATGAAACAATTTATAAATTAACTTAACATAAAATTTTAAGCATGCATATTATTGATTTGAACGTCAATTTTGTCAAGTAGTTGACGTATAAACAACTCTCCACTTTTTGTCTTGCTTTATCCATCTTATTATTATTATTATTATGTCAGTGATGGTCAACAGGCAATAGCCCAATTACTGACCACCTTAGCAAAATATATGACCAACAGCTGAACCCACGAAGGCAAAGTTAAACAGACTGAATGTAGCTACATATACAAAGAAAAAACCTATTTATTTAAATATATCGAATGCATTCTGTTCCGAATTGTATAAAGTACACATCTCGTATATAGGTGAGTGTTTTACAACGTTTAAGCGAGGAGTAGGCAAATAGAAGCAATCATGAGAACGAGATGACAATCTGGGGACAAGCAAATATAATCGACTCAAAAGATCCGGACAATCAATATGAAAATGAACCAACTTTTTTAAAAAATTCAACGATGCAATAGTCCGTCTGCAATGTAAATCTCTAAACCCAAATTTATTTAAAAGAGTAATATGGGACGAACCCCTTGGTGGATAAACACCATCCGCCCTAAAAGCTAAGTACTTCAAAAAACGTCGTTGAATCTTCTCCAATGTGTCTATATGAATCCGAGAAAATGGAGACCAAACAACACTTGCATATTCAAGCTTGGATCGCACATAAGCAAAATATAAAATTTTCAAACAATCAAAGTCACTAAAACTACTGCCACATCTTAGTATAAAACCGAGTGATTTGAGAGCATTGGCACATATATTATTTATGTGATTTACAAAAGAGAGTTTGGAATCAAAAGTGACTCCCAAATCACAGAAAGAATCAACTCTAGTCAAAATGGTGTTATTGAGATCATAGGGATACAAGGTTTGGATATTTTTGTTAGTAAACGACATAATAAAGCATTTGTCAAAATTTACCGGGAGAAAGTTACAATTGCTCCAACATAGAAATTTCTGCAGATCATCTTGTAACATCCGGCAGTCATTAATACTCGAAACAGTTCTAAAAATTTTCAAATCATCCGCATACATAAGAATGTTTGAACTAATACTCTTTGCGATGTCATTTATGTAAATCACGAACAAAAGAGGTCCAAGAACCGAACCCTGAGGCACTCCAGACAAGACAGAAATACTATCTGACACATGACCATTATATTTAACGCACTGAGTCCTATTGGATAAATACGATTTAAACAATGAAAGTAATGAAGCAGAAAACCCAAAATTACTTAATTTAACCAGCAAAATATCATGATTAAGTTTGTCGAAGGCCTTGGAAAAATCAGTATAGGCCACGTCAACCTGAAGCATAGCATCAAAGCTTTCTGAAACAAACTGTGTGAATACACAGAGGTTAGATATGGTGGAACGGTTACTTACAAATCCATGTTGACAATCAGATATTTTACTACGAACATTAAATAACAAAAATTTATGTAAAACAAATTCAAAAACTTTGGCAAAGTTACAAATTAGCGAAATGGGCCTGTAATTCTCAATTGTATTTCTACTCCCTTTCTTAAAAATTGGAGAAATAATAGAATGTTTCCAGATATCGGGAAAGATGGCAGAATTTATTATTAAATTAAAGATGACTGATAAGGGATGAGAAAGCACCGAAGCACAATCAGATAATAAAAAACCCGGAATATTATCGTGACCACTCATTAAGTTACACTTAATTTTTTTTAGCGCTTTAAACACATCTGCTTCACTTATCGTGTTGAATTGTATAAGATCATTGTAAGAGTCACATACGAATTCATTCAAATTTGTGGCTTTACAGTCAGTGTAACCTGAACTAAAATGGGTTGCAAATGCATTTACTATATCTGCAGGATTACAGAGTACCTTGTTATTATAACTCATTTGGGACGGTATACCCCCTTGTTTTTTAAGTCTGCTTATATGTGTCCAGAATTTATTAGGATTGGCTTTTATGTTATTTTCCAAATCGCAGATGTAATCACGATAGGCAACTTTGACATCACGTTTTATTTCGGAACGTACAGATTTGAAATTCAAAAGATCCTCTAAACTTTTACTTCGTTTATACCTAGACCAAAGTTTCCATTTAAATTTGATTTTATTAATAATGTCAAATGTGAACCAAGGCGGGAAGGGGCTATGACGAATGTTACGAGTCTTGGGCACATAAATATCAAGGATGTTAATAAGTTTATTGTAGAATAAAGTACATGCAGTATTCGGATCATTAACTCCATTTAAAAACGACCAATTAATTTGCCCAAGATGGTGATAAAGGTTGGGATAATCAGCTTTCCGAAAGTTCCACCGTTTAACTAATATTTCAGAATTACCTAAAATCTTACTTTTTCCTTGATGAGTATCTATGGTAATTACCAGAGAAGGATGATGACTGTCTTCTGGCAAAAGATAATCATGACAACCATTAACAGAGCACTCATAGTTAGAAAGAATCAAATCTAAAAGTCTGCCATTAGTGTTCATAATAGTATTAAACTGACAATAGTTATTAAGATTTAAAAAAGTGCTTAGGGCAGACAACTTGTTATTACCAACAATATTGTTCTCTAAACCAATATGATATTCAGCAATGTTAAAGTCACCTATGATAACCACACGATCATTCCATAAATCAGCAAGATTACCGAGCAAATTAAATAATGAGATATAATCATCAACAGATGACTTGGGTGGAACATAAATTACCAAAATGTAGAAAGAGACATATCTATATGTAAGTTTTACCCCCACAATGTCAATTAAATGCAACTCATCAAAACCATGCGGGGACAGATCAATCTGCAAAACAGAGAAATATTTGCGCATTGCTATCAGAACCCCACCACCTCTGGTAAGAGTAGTTTTATTAAATTTACGATCAGATCTGTATATCTCAAAATTGTCAGGACAAAATTCTGAATTAGCCACAGAATCAGTAAGCCACGTTTCAGTGAGAATTATGAGCTCAAAATTACAAGTTAGTAAAGAATTGAAAAGTTCGACTAGTTTTGAGTTTATACCTCTGGCATTTTGGTAATAGATTGATAACGAAGATAGTAAAGTGATCGAAGCAGTAGAATTATTATTAGTTGAAACGGTACCTAATAAAGTGGGATCCTCCATCTTGTTAAAATCGCTCTGTTTTTGCGCAACAGTCAGATTTCCGTCACCGTCAATTAGAGTAGCTTTCAACACGAAAGGGTACAGCTGGTGAGAGTGTGCAGAAGATTGTTTTGGTTTGGCCTTACAAATATCGTGAAAGCAGTGGCTGAGGCGATGAATATTTCGATTTTGAAATATTAAAATATTATTGCGGTTAATAAAAATATCACTTTTCTATTTTATTAGCGTTGACATTATAGAAAATGAATTTAAACAATTGTTAGTGCTGTATTTGATGTTGAGTTGAATAAAAAAGTAAGTAAAAGAAGTAAAAAGGTCATTTTTAATGAGCAATAATAACTGTTAAATTACGGTACAGTCGAAGCTCTAGTTATAAACGACAATTATGTTAGAATATGAACTGTGATTATTACTTCGAGGTTAAAGACAGAAAACG